CCCCCCCCCCCCCCCGGGGGCCGCCCCGCCCTCGGCCAGCCGCTGTTGCAGCACACACAGTCACCAGCAGAGGGTGCCAAGGGCCTCCAACGGTAGGGCTTGGCTGAGCCTGGGTGGATAGGGGACCTGTGGCCAGGAGCTTGCACAGAGGGTGCAGAAGGTGGCCACGGATGTCACTCCAGCTGTCAGCCAGGTCCCCTGGGCCGCGCCCTCTCCTCGGCACCCTCCTCAGCTTGGGGCTAAGCTCTCCAAATCCAGTTTCGGCCTTGCCCCTCTGACTCATGCCCCCTCCTGGCCTGCCCGAGGTCTGCCACTCCCCTCAGGTATGTACATATCGAAAGCCATTCTTGGGGGGACAAGCCTTGGGCCTTCTGGTCCTGGCCTGTCAGTGAGAGGGCTGTGCAGTGCCCCCATTCAGCTGTGTGCCCCCCCCCCAGGAATGTCCCTGTCGGATGGGTGTGGAGAGCAGAGGGAGCCTGCTCTGTGACTAGCTGGTGAGTGGCCTCCTGTGGAATGTGCCTGGTGGCCAGGCCACGCCCCCCCCTCTGCCTAGGCACTCTTACAAAGGGTGCAGTTTCCCGGGGCTCCAGGGCCCATCCCACCCCCAGGAGACAGACACCGGGCTGCTAGGAGATGTATTAGGTTTAATGATCCAGGCTTCGGAGTGGCCCCCTCAAAGTTCGGAAACAGCGGCTGGGCGCACACCATGCAGGGCTGCTGGGCCGAGCTTGGTCAGAGCAAGTTCCTGTCCTGGGCGCTGCGCGGTGAGGGCTGGGGCTGTCTGCAGCCATACTTTCATCCAGCCCACCCTTGGTCCTTGAAAGGGTGAAGGGGCCCAGCGGAGCTCCACCCAAGGGCGGCGCCCAAGGCCTCCGTCCGAAGCCCCTCCCCAGGCAGCCCTCGGCCACACTCCGCGAAATGCAGCGGGCACGTTGGAGGCAAGGGTGCCAGCTCCGCCAGCCTGCCCAGTTCGGAGCCCCAGCCCACGCTGGGAGCAGGTGGATGCAGAAGTCTTGGTGGGAGGGTCAGTGTCCCAGGGGTGGGGCCCACACGTGACAGGCCCCACCTCCGGGAGTTCTGCAGCCTTGGGGAAGGACCAGGGCTGACACCGCGCGCAGTTGGTTTGGCTGAGGCTGGCTGTGGTTTGGTAGGTGAGTGTGGGTGGTCGGGGCTGGCAAGGCGGTCAGTGGGCCTGGGGACAGGCCGGGTGCCTTGAAACAGCCAAGCCCCCTCTCCAGTCGGGAGTGGAGGGCTCCCACCCAGGACCCCATCCATGTCCTTGGTACAAAGTACATACGCATATAAAAGTAATACTCGGTGTACTGGCGGGGCCCCGCAGCAGGCGCAGTCTCCCCTCGGCTGCGGGTGAGGAGCGCGGGGAGCCAGGCTAGCTGTCGTCCGCCCTCCTCTGGTTCTTGGAATGAAACTTGTTCATAAGCTCCTCCAACTCTGACCCACTTTGCTGCTTCTAGGGAGGAGGAATGGGGGCAGCCTCAGCCCGGGGGCCCACAGGTCAGGGCCCTGTCTGCCTCCCCCTTCCCCAGCGACCCCAGGGGCAACGGTGCGTGCAGAGGTCGGGTGCAGCAGAGGGGCGCGCGGCGGCTCACCTCCAGGAAGGCCTTCTGCACGGTGAGCTGGCTATACACGCGGTTGCCCTCCTCGCCGCACACCTTCTTCAGCTCCTCTTTGTTGAGCGAGAAGAGCTGGGGCCCGGTCAGGATGCCCAGGTTCTCCACGACCCTAGGGGTAGGGGGCGGGGCGGAGGGCTTGAGGGCTGAGCGGTGGGCGTGGCGGGCTCGCGCCGGCCCCGCCCCGCCCCGCGGGGGCTGGCTGCGCTCCACGCGGAAGTGCCGCTGCGGCTGCGCCTTGATGTGGGTGATCTTCTTCATGAGCTCGTCGTTGACCTCGTCCATGTGGTGTATCAGCTCTGGGGAGGGCGCTGGCTCAGGCCCGCCCTCGTGCTGGCCCCCGCCCTGCCCTGGCGCCCACGCGAGCCCTGTTCCCCAGGTCGCCCTGAGCCCCTCCCTCCTCGTCGCAGCTTCTCACCGTCTTTGTTCCCTGCGAAAGCTGGGGGCAGCTTGTGGGTGGGGCTGGAGGGACCCCAGTATTTCTGACTGGCCTGTGGGGAAAGGGGGGAGTGAGGACAGTGCGGGGGTGGGTTACCGGGGCCCCTCACTCCCCTGCCACCTCCCGGGACCTGCCCGGGTCCCCGCCAGCCCCACCGTCTCCACTCTGTGCTCTGGACGTGGACAGGGGCTGGAGGCAGTGGGGTTCCAGTCCCCCTGGGTCAGAATGGAGCCGCAGGCAGGCTCACCTGCTCCAGGGGGGCGCCGACGTCCTCAGGGCGCGCCTCGTCCAGGATGTTGCAGGGCACGTAGCCGGCCTGGCCACTGCGATTGCGCAGCTTCCACCACTGCCGGCCGTCCGCCAGCACCTGCCGACGGCCCCGCAACGCTTACACTTACACTGCTTGCCGGCCCCTGGCACCAGCCGGGGCTGCTGGGACCACCGGGCCAGGCCACGTTACAGAGAGCTGGGCCAGCTCCCACCCTGCCCTTCCCTGAACCCAGCGGGCCTTGGGATGAGGGTGCCTCTGCACCTGGTGGTGGATGTAGACACACCCCCTTCCCCTGCTCCACTTTCCAGCCCTCACAGGTGACCTGGATTCCGGTGCGCGGTAAGGGGCTCCTGGGGTGGGTGCGAATGACAAGCCATGGAGGGTCCCTCGCTTGGCACAGAGACTGCCTACCCCTCAGCCCGAGGCTAGTCTGGCACAGGGCTGCTTAGGAAGAGAGGGCTCTCTCCCAGACTGTGCTGGGGTGGGGGCTGCGGGAGACCTAGCCGGTGGATCCCATCAGAGCTCAGAGATGGGGACCCTGGGGAAAGGGGACGAACAGCTGTGCCACGTCCTGGTGTTCCAGCCTGGCCCTGCAGCCTATGCCCCCCCCATCTCCCGGGGCTGCCCCTTCTTCCCCTGGGCACCCCCTCACCTCCAGGACCTCATCCTTGAGCACCGACAGCTCGTTGGCGTTGCGGGCCGTGAAGTCGTAGAGGATCTTGACATATCTGGCCATGGCTGGCGTTGGCGGGTAGCTCCTGTGTAAGACGGGGGGGTGGGTGCTGAGGCCCAGGGCTGGCAGGGGCTGGGGGCAGCGGCTTCCCGGTGCGGAGCCGCCTGATTGTGCTCTTGAGGTCGTAGCAGAGTGCTGCGGCTCCTCAGCCGGGAATGGAAACTGTGACAGACCCAGAGCGCTAGGGCCCTGCGAGG